GCTGGAATGGCCTTTCTGGGCAAAGGAAGAAATAAAAAGCAAACTCATTTCAAAATGCTAACAGAGCCAACTCAAAAGTTGAAGGCTCACCTGACTACCTGTTGTGCATTGATGTGCAGGTAATATAATTAAAATTCTTTTAAAGAAAACTGATGGACCAGTAGACAATAGAGTGGCTCTTTGAAGCTTTATTTATTAACTTGTTGTTTCCCTTAAAGAACTGCCTAGAACAAGTTAGATCCAACTCACTTTGGCACCTTGAAGTAAAAAACAAGACAAAACTGGTTTTTCTTGCTCTTGAGCCATAATTTCTATTCAATAGCTTTAAGAACTATAATACTGTAGAAACAAAATATGTGGTAAAGTTATGCCTGGTCATCTGAGGCCTAATTCTCTTAATACTGAATTGTGTTCTCTCTCTCTCTCCTCTCTCTTTTCTCTCTCCCCCTCCCTCTCCCTCTTCCCCTCTAGCTCTTCCCATCTCCCTTTCCCTCTGTCTCCCTCTCTCTCTCTTTTCTCTCTCTTTCATCTTCCTACAATTTATTTTGCATAAAATTTCTTTAAAAAAAATAGATGCTATCTGTAGTGGTTTGAAAGAAGAATGGCCCCAAAAGGGAGTGGCACTGTTAGGAGGTGTGGCCTTGTTGGAGAAGGTGTGGTCTTGTTGGAGGAAATATGTCACCCTGGAAGCCAGCTTTGAGGTCTGATATGCTCAAGCCATGTCCATTGGAAGAGACTACTTCCTGTTGCCTGTGAGTCAAGATATAGAATTCTTATCTCCTTCTCCAGCACCATGTCTGCCTGTATTATGCCACACTTCCAGCTGCCATGCTCCCTGCCATGATGATAGTGGACTAAAACTCTGACCCTGTAAGGCACCACTTTGATTAAATGTTTTCCTTTATAACAGTTGCTATGGTCATGGTGTCTCTTCACAGCAACAGAAACCCTAAGAGAGTATCATAGTTCTGTCTTTTCTTTTTCTCCCAGTATGTTTTCCAACTTCTGACATTAAGTCATTGAAATCCAGAATACAACAGCAGTGGTTCTGCCTAAAAATACTGGATTATTTGTATACATATTGCTTGAAGTGTCAATTATACTAATTACTATTTGATCTGGTCTTAGTTCCTGTGGTATATAATGCATCCATAGTTATACTTGGGTGTATAGGACACTTAGAAAATTAATTTTTTAAACTAGTTTAGAAAGTAGCACATACATGCATGCATATGTACATCCATATGGTTTTGTTTTGAAGCATTATATCATTGGCTAGTCCTATCTGATCTAGAAATCTAGTACAACAAGCTGGTTTGGAACTCCAGAGATCCACATGCTTCTTGCTTCTGAGTGAGTGCTGGGATTAAAGGTGTATGTCATCATGCCCAACCTATTTTTTACATTTTTTTGAGACATGTTCTCATGTATCTCAGACTGGCCTCAAACTCAGTATGTAGCCAAGGGTGATCTTGAGTTCCTAATATTCAGGTGTATGCCTTGCATCCAACTCAAATTAGAATTTTGGATAATGAATTTTTCAGTATAAATATATCCCGAATGTTGTATAACCAGTTATTGTTTACTATAATCAAGTATTACCAGATGGTCTATATTTTTTCTGACATTTTCAAACAAATATTCCAGAAATACATAATTTGTTTGACCCTAGCTACCCTTAAACTGATTTTTTTGTGATCATTTGTGATTTGCTTTTCAGGTCAGATGATAGGGCGCTAAAGAGATGGCTCAGTGGCTAAGAGCATTGGCTACTCTTCCAGAGGACCCAGGTTAATTTCCCGGCACTCTCATGGCAGCTCATAACTTCTAGAGGATCTGACACCCTTTTTGGGCCTGTTTTGTACACATCATGTGCTTAGTGCACAGACATACATGTAGACAACACACACACACACACACACACACACACAAAGATCAGGTAATAAAGAAACCAAAGCCAGTCTCCTGGCACAATATACCAAACTGTGGTTTCTCTTTCTTCATTCATGGCCTTCTGAAAGATTCACTAATACTTTTCATACGTCTCTACTTTTGCTTCTGCCACCTCTTTTGGTCTGTGCTCATTTCTCTTTTGCCCATTTTGAAATTCCTATAGTTAATGTAATCTTTTTTTAGTTTTTTTTTGTTTGTTTGTTTTGTTTTTAGTTTATGGTGTAACTCAGTGATAGAGTGCTTGCTTGACATATGAAGAAGACCTGGGTTTGATTCCTAGCATAAAAAAAAAAAAAAAAATGGACTTCTTGAGACAAATGAGGATTTGAGTTCCAGCCTGTCCCTTCACTGTGTACGGAAGTAAAATTATTTCATGTATGTAAGATGGGGCTTCACTTTTTGAGGAATGTAAGCCTTGATGTTCTCTTTGTAAGGCTGCTGGCAGGTAGTGGTCAAACCACTCAAGAGTGATTTGTTAATTCTTTCTGTCAGATGTTTGACTCTTAAGCTACTTTACGGCCAGATTATTGGCTTGTTTGAGCTAGCACTTGCTCTCTTGAACTTTGACTTTCTCTCTCATGTTGTCATCAACCAGTTCAGCTCAGTTCAGGAAATTCATTTTGAGTTCTGATTGTTGCTGTTGTTTCAGACACTTTTTCACTTTATAGCTTTTGCCCTTTGCAACCCACTATGTAGCCCAGGCTGGCCTTCAGTGCACAAGAATTTACCTGCTTTAGCCCCAGAAATGATGGACTCATTAGTGACATTGTTAAGTTCAGAGCCGGAGCTCTGGAATCCCTAACAGATTAGGCTAGACCATTTGTCCTCAGGAGGTCAATTAAATGGACAAGAAGCAGTAAAAGATGTTGTGGAATGTAACACAAATATTAAAACCCAGAGACAGATATTGGGGTTCAAGTTGAAAGATCATAGAAGCAAAGTAGCCAAGCCCTAGAAACTTGTCACCTCTGCCAATGCTCAGACCGAAGTTACTTCTGTTCTCTGATTACATCTCCAAACTGCATTGCTCTCCACCAAGCTTCTGACTGCAATTTTCTCAGTTCTGTCTCCTCCCACTTTATATTCCTCTCTCCACAACCATGTCCCCACTGTATCTACCTCTCTAGTGCCAGGATTAAAGGCATGGGCTCACCTTTGTGTGGGCTGTTTTTTTTAGACTGGATCAATTTAATGTAGCCTTGAATTAACAGAGATCCATCTGCCTCTGTCTCCTGAGTCCTGGGATTAAAAGTGTGGTTACCACTACCTGGCTCTATGGCTGTGGCTAGCTTTGTATTTTGCCATATATATGTCATACATATATCACCACAGTGGAATATTGTTCTAAGGTGTGTTGCATTTGTTTATGCTGTGGAACATTTGTTTAATGATGTAAAGATGTGCTGAGTTTGTTTATGGTGCATTTGTTTAACTCTGAAGCTGTGATTCTTTGCCTGTCTAAAACACCTGATGGTCTAATAAAGAGCTGAACAGTCAAAAGCAAAGCAGGAGAAAGGATAGGTGAGGCTGGCAGGCAGAGAGAATAAATAGGAGGAGAAATCTGGGACGAGAGAAGGGAGGAGCAAGATAGAACATTATGGAATGCCAACTGTTTTCTTGGTACCTGTATCTCCCCCCCCCCAACACCTCAGAATAGTGTAATTATCATGTTGTAGGAATATTAAGTGTATTATTTACTCATTTATTTATTTATTTTTGGTTTTTGAAGACGGGTTCTCTGTGGCCTTGGAGGCTGTCCTGGAACTAGCTCTATAGACCAGGCTGGCCTGGGATTCACAGAGATCTGCCTGTCTCTGCCTCCCAAGTGCTGGGATTATAGGCATGAGCTACCACCACCCGACTTAAAAAAAAAAAAAAAAAAGTGAAGATAAGTATTGTATTAGTTACTTTATTTTTGCTGCTGCGACAAAACTTGGGAAGGAGGACTTACCTGAGTTCATGATTGCAGAGTTTTTGGTTCATGGTCGCTTGGTTCGGTTGCTTCTGGGTCTCTAGTTGGAGGTATATGTGGTGCGGCAATTATTTACCAAAAAGCATACCAAAAAGCTGCGATGATAGCCCCTGAGGAGAGTCCTGGGTAAGATCCACCCTCAAAAGCCAATGACCCGATTCCAAATAGGCCTGTTCACAATTTACACCATCAAAGATGTACTACATCAGTGGCTTAGGCCAGAGCCTTCACTATCACTCCCTTCTCCCACTGCAAAGCCCTTTAGCTGGCAACCAGCTTTTACCAAATGATGAACCTTTAGGGACCATTTTAGATTTGGACTAAGTAAACATCAAGATCTAGTTCACATTCCATCATCCAGTTTTCCGAAGACCAGATTACACGAAGATTTAAAGGGAGGTATTCTATGCTAAGTCATCTAATTTTATTTTTCTCTTTGCTATTTTCTAACTATGCTTCCCTAAGTCATGGTTTTAATCATAAGCTTAATTGTAGGAGCATTGTGTTAACAGGAAAGGGATAAATCTGCTGTATCCGATGAACAAACCAGACCCACAATATTACATTTCAGCCTGTCACCGCTGGCATAGGCTACAATGGTTGGAAGATTTTCAAAATATATTAGAAGGCTTTTTAAAAAGTAGTATGTTTGAGATCCTTGCAGACAGGAAGAGGTAAATGGCTCTCCTATGTGGTGGTCTTTCTCTCTTTTTTGCACCCCCCTCCCCAGGTTTAATAACATTAAACCCATTTTGGATTTCTGAGACTCTCTCGGACTGTCAGAGTGGGGGCAGGGGTCATTTCCAACCAAACAAGCTGGTTCCCAGACTAAGGATGGTAACCTGCACCAGGGATAATCTTGTTTTCAACTCACTGGTGGTCATTTTCAGGAGCCAAGATCCGCCTCCCGGTTCTCCATCAGGGTTCTTTGACCCAAAGGACTTTGCCCTTTCTTAAGTTGCGGGTCATCCTGCCACTTTATGTAGCCGGACTGTCGGCAGACACCCTTCCTAACACCGTCCCGCGACCGTGGGACTGCCACGGGGCTGCCCGAGTGTGATCGCCTCGGGAACGCGGTCGGGCAAGCGCGAAGCTGGGGCCGCCGGAGCCGAGCAGGGAACGGCGTTTGCCGGGGCCGAGGCGGAAGCCGGAGCCTTTGGCGGACGGGACCGCGGGAACCCGGAAACGCCTGGGCCGCACCGAGGCGGTCCGGGCTACAGAGACGGCGGGAGCCGGCGGTGCTGCGGGGCAGCGAACGCGGCGGGGCCGGCGGGCTCGGCAGTCTGGGGCGCCCGGTGTCGTGGAGCCCGGGGCTCCAGTGCGAGCAGCTGGCCGAGCCGCACGGCGGGTGAGCGGAGGGCACTGGCGGGGAGCGGCGGGCTGGGGGGACGTGATGCTGGCGGGGAGGGAGGCGGCTGAGGTAGGAGGTCCCCGGGCCACCCGGAGAGCAGCCGAGAGCTGCCGCTCTCGTTCAGAGGCAGCAGATGAAGGGGCCCCTTGTCCTTCGGTGCCGGACCGTTCTGGGTGGAGGAGGAAAAGGTCCGGAGGAGAGGGGTGTGGCAGGCGGTGTGCCTGCAAGCTCCAGACTGGCGGGCCAAGTGCCTAGGGGCCAGGCTGGCGGCCAGTCCTCCTCCGTGGCCTTCCCTGGGGCTGCCGCCCAGCCTGTGATCCTGGGATAAGGATGGGTCTGCCCGGCGAGGACTCTGTGCTCAAGAAGGTGCAGGGACTTCAAGAGATGGAAAGGGTGCCCGTGGTAAGGTTAGACCAAAGGCGATGGGTGTCTGAGATGGGGTTAGGTTTCCATCCCAGTGTCTGTCGGGACCGGACAGTGCTGGGTGGGGTTCTGAGTATTGAAGAGTGGTGGAGTTCAGGCAACATTTTCATTTAAGCCAGCCAGAGTTTCTGCTAGTGGAGATGAATTAAGGGGTATTAGATGTGGTAATGGGCCTTTCTGTAGCAAGCCACTTACATTCTGATTCTTTTGAGGAGCGTGTCCTTTATTTGTATTCTATTAAATGTAATATTTGAACATGGCACCAGAGTTGTCTTTGTAGGCACTTGGTTTGGTAGTTACAGGTGATGTTTGGTTGTTTCTCACGTGGTGGTCTTAATTCTATTGCTCTAACTTGTTTCCTTTCAAATGAATACCACGTTTACATTTCTGACTAAGTTCCCTCCCTTTATTATTTTTTTTTTTCCTACTGTGTCTGCCTCTATTTTCTGGCCTCTTCCAGATGCACAATACCTTTTTTTTTTTTTTTTTTTAATAACTTCCAAAAGGAACTTGCTGCTTTTAGCCTGTCTGCCTTACAACTACTCCTGGTCCACTGCTGGCACATGCATGCGCAGGCGCTCTCTCTTCTCTATCCATCCCCCCCCCACTCCTGTTCCTGTGTGTGGTGTTGTTCGATGGACAGGAGGTGTGTGAACCTCGTGGGAATATTGGGTGAGCACTCATATCACTGAGCTGTAACTCCAATTCTTTGTAATGGCTTTTTAAAGCTTGAAATGTAATGCCATTTTTTGGCACTTATCTCAGAAATCCGTAGTGCATACCGCTTGCTAGGTAAGTACTTTTCTACTAAGAAATACCCCTAACCCAGAATAGATTTTAAAATAATTTAGGCAGATATTAAAAACCCTTCTGTGATGCAAATTAATGTGATCATTTCATTCTTTTTAGACAACCGTAGGGTTTTTATTTTTATGTTTTATTTATTTATTTAGTTTGAGCTAGGGTTTCACATCATAGTCCTCCTGGCTGTCCTGGAACTTAATAAGTAACCTAGGATAGCCTCTAACTTATGGCAGTCTTCCATTGGGTCTTAATTATCTCTAAAATAGGGCAATTACTGTTGGTTCCATTTTATAGATGACTATTGAGGATCACACAGGCTAAGTAATTTGCTGTAGGTCCTACTTCATTGTGTTTGAAATGAATGTGCTATGTACTCAAGCATGGACCTTTTAATATCCTGAATGAAAGGGCATAGGTGATAAACTCAATGGAAATAACTTCTGAGTTAAAAGCCTCATTTATGATTCAGTAACTAAAACTAACTAGGATTATGCTATGATTCACTAACTAGGAGCTTCTTTTCTTGAAAATTTTTGAAAAGTGAGTTCCTATTTCATGTTAAATAACTTTGTGGGTTCCCCCTCCCCACAAAGTTCAGATTAATGTGAATTGGTTGATTAATATTAGGTTTCAGTGCTAAAACAGCAAATGTATTAACTTAATTCACTCCATTAATGAAAGAGTATAACTATGGGATTTGTGTGTGTTCTTTAGTTCTTTTTTGGAGACTTGTTGGGGACAGGTGACAGGTGTAGAATTGTGTACCATAATTCCATAGGCTTGTGCCTAGTATGTTTATATATGTACACTAAAACTTTAAAATTTATTTATTTTAAAAAATATTTTAAAACATTTATTTTCTGTATGTGATTTGCCTCAATGTATGTATGTGTACCACGTGCATGTAGTGCCCTCAGAGGCCAGAAGAAGATTTTGGATCCTCTGGAACTGGAGTTACAGATGGTTGTACACCACACCTGGTCCTCTGGAGGAGTAGCCAATGCTCTTAAATCCTGAGCCATCTCTCCAGTCCTGTTACATATTTTTAGTCATTTTAAAATGTGTTTTCTTGTTGGTGTTTATGGCAGTGACTTTTGAAGCTAGACTGTTAATCAGCTTCTCTGGTTGTCTGCCCAGAACTGTTTATCAACCGTCTCATATGAAAACAAACCAAACCTAAAGAAAAGGAATTAAGATAGGTGACTTTATTCTAGGTTAGGCAACATGGTAGACATTAATTAGAGTTACTCTAAAATTGAAGTCTTAGGTCACATCAGATAAAATGCTAAGAAACAAGTTCATTCCACAAAGAAAGAGTCACATATAACTTTATATCTACTCCTTAAACGCTGGATATTTTTTTCTGGAGCCAGTGAAATGGCTCAGCAGGTATTTTTATTTTATTCGTATGGATGTTTTGCCTATATGTATGTCTGTACCACTTGTATGCAGAGGTCAGGAAAGGGCATCAGATCTCCTGTAACTGGAGTTTTTGTTATTAATAATATCATTAATTATTATTTTAGCATTTCATGTATCTGAGCATTATGCCTGCATTTATGTCTGTGTACCACTTGTATACAATGAGGCCAAAAGAAGGTATTGGATTCCTTGGAATTAGAGTTACTGACAATGACAGGTGTGAGCTGCCATGTGGGTGCTAGGAATTGAACTTGGGTGCCAGACAAGAGCAGTCAGTGTCTTAGTCACTAAGCGTCTCTAGTCCCAGAATCTCACTTTCTTAATCTGGAAAAGCAAGGACACCTTCTTTTCAAATTAAATTGTATTTAAATAAACAAATCTGTGTGTAATGACTAGCAAGAAATCTGACATGTTACAGATGCTCAAGGCTCTTAGCTTATGAAGTTTAGTTATTAGAAACCATTAAGTGAGAACCTTTGTCTGTCTCCTGTGTATGGCGTTCACCATCCTGAACACTGAGTGCCCCAGAGCCCTTAAACTCTTAGTTCACAAGAAACCATTTCTTATGGAGTATTTAAATACTAAGTATTTTATCTAACCTTTTGTGAATCCAACATAGAGAGTAAATGCCTAATGTGACAGGTACTGCTGGTGAGGCAATAAAGGAAATACAACACTGAAAAGAAAATTTCTATCATGCTGCCTAACCTAGGATACATAGTCACTTACCTTAATCTTTTTTTTTTTTTGTTTGTTTGTTTTGTTTTCATCTGGGATGTATCTTCTAATCTTCTATGTGGTTGATAAACAGTTCTAGGCAGACAACTAGAGAAGCTGAATAATAGTCTAGTTTCAGAAGTCACTGGCATAATGTGTGTTTGATAGGATCCATGAGTGTTCTTATAAAGACAAGCATAGGGTGTGGGGAAGGGTCTAAGTATGCTAGAGGACTGGGGGGGGGGAGAGTTCAGTGGTTGAGCATGTGCCTAGCAAGCAGCAAGTCCCAGAACTACCAAGGGAGGAGGAGAGAGAAACATGCCTTCTCTGCTTGTGGGTCTATATGTATTACAAGGCTCATAATACTATCCTCTCAGTGAAGTTTCCTAAGTCTTCCAGGAAGGCTTTTTAAAAAGACAAATATTTGTTCAAAAAATTACACAAAGGAATGAATGGTTTGAGATAGGCAATAGTTTATGGCAGGAAATTTAGGCTAGGACCAGATTATAAGAGACTATGTAGCCTCTATTTGATAAGGTGTCAGTTGAACTTTACAAACAAGGAAGGAATGTGATTAAGTGCATGTTTTCTTTTTTTTAAAGTGTATTGATTTTTGTCTGCATTCATGTCTGTGAGAAGGGGTCAGTTCTCCTGGAACTGTAGTTACAGACTGTTGTGAGCTGCATGTGAGTGCTGGGAATTGAATCCCAGTCCTCTGGAAAAGCAGCCAATGCTCTTAACCACTGAGCCATTTCTCCAGCCCCGAATGTATATTTTCTTAAGACACCTGCTGAATGGAAGGTAAGTTAGGGCTGGAAGAATTGGAGCCTGTCCAAATCAGTCAGCAGGCAGTGTGGTAAGGGACTTAAATAGTCATAATTAATGGAATTTGTATTTTACTGAGATTTGTATTTTACATCAGATTATATATAGTGTATCTAAACTTCTGAGACTGGAACAGTATCTGTGTGGTAGGAGGTGCTACCACAATCTTACATTTTGATGGTGGCAGTAAAAAAAGAGGTGATTAGTAAGCATAGTTTTAGGGTGCTTGATGAGTGAGCATGGTAAGACTCTGGGTCCTAACACTAAAATGGCTAAACATATCTAGAGTAAGCAGTAAAGAATCACTTTGTAATATTTAGTAAAGTTTCTCTGATTGTATGGAAATGAGTAATTTTGTGGGTTTTTCATGAGAGGTTAAAGTAATTTTTATTTATATGGTATCTTTGTTTCATTACTGAGTCTATTTTTCTTTCATTTTTTTCAAGACAGGGTATCTTTGTGTAATAGCCCTGGCTGTTCTGGAACTCTGTAGACCAGACTGGCCTCGAACTCACAGAGATCGTCCTGCCTCTGCCTTTTTTTAAAAAAGGTTTTTTTTTTTTTTTTTTTTCACATATTTTTGTTTTTTGTTTGCTTTTTGAGATAGGGTCTCTGTATGTACCCCTGGCTGTCCTAGAACTCACTATGTAGACTAGGCTGGCCTTGAACTCAAAGAAATCTGCCTACCTCTGTCTTCTGAGTGCCACAATTAAAGGTGTGGGTATGCCATCACCCTGGCCTGATTGATTCTTGTTAAGTATGGAAATTTACTTGTTTTCAGTATGCATGTATACAGGTATTTTTGT